TGAAGACGTTGTGTGCTTCGTTGTGAAAGCGAAGCTACTTTGTTTGGTCTTCCAAAAGAGGACGATATCCGCTTCGTCATGCCTAGAGCTGATCTGTGCTGGTCGCTGAGGGAATACTTCAACTTAGTGCTGTGGATCGCCGGATCGGCTTTCACTGTGGACGAAGCGGAGTCCAGCCCGGGGTCGTCACATGTGGTTGCCGGTCATTCGTCGGATCCGCCGGGCGCGCCGTTCTCGACCCCGCCGCCTCAGCTCACTCTTGCCCGGCTTCAGCTCAGGCTAAGCCGGGGCTTTCGCTCACGCTAGGCCGCTGTGTTTTTCGTTGTGAAAGCGAAGCTACTTTGTTTGGTCTTCCAAAAGAGGACACGACTACAAATCAGTGGTTAAGTTGTATTTACAACACTGTTCCAGAACAGTGCAACGCAAATATCCAGATGTGTGCAGCACATTTTATGGAGGACTGTTTACTGATCCTGGGAGAGTTACGTTAGACTAAAATGCCGGCAGTTCTGACTCACGTAAGTACGTTTTCATTTAAAGGATTTGCCACTGATGATTCAAACGCGAGTTTTGGGCAGTGTGGATTAATGTTAGCACTTGTTGTTTGTCATTTCTCTGATCGCAAATGCAGACAGAGTTTTATGTTTACGCGGCGCGATGCAACGCAACGCGTAAAAAGACAGTATAAATCATTATAATCCGTAATTATGTCCCCACTGGATGCAACGAATGCCTTGTTTATAATGGGTTTTCATGTTTTTGAATCATCGCTCCGGCCGGACATGGCATCAGCAGTATGTGAGGGGCGTAACATTTCTGTCACACACTTGAGGTATTCGGCCAATCATAACGCATTGGATAGCTGGCCAATCAGAGCACACCTCGCTTTTCAGACTGATGAGCTTTGTAAAAATCGACGCGTTTCAAAAAGGCGGGGCATAGAGGAGAAACAATAATGTACAGTATGTGGAAAATAATGTGTTTTTTGAACTTTAAACCGCATAAACACATTTCATTACACCAAATACACAAAATAATGTTCTTTTTAGCAGCATCATATGACCCCTTTAAAAAGTATATAAATTGTAATTTTTTTTTTTTTTAGAAATTAGTATTCCTCGTCTGGGATCGTGTAGAACACTCTGAAGCTGCAATTGGGACCTTCCTCCCAGTGAACCCCATTGAAGTCCACTATATAGAGAAAAACCCTGGAATGTTTTCCTTTAAAAACCTTAATTTCTTTTCGACTGAAGAAAGAAAGACATGAACATCTTGGATGAGTAAATTATGAGGAAATTTTAATTCAGAAGTGAACTAATCACTTAAAGGGATAGTTGACCCAAAAATGAAAATTCTGTCATCATTTACTCACCCTCATGTCGTTCCAAACCTGTACGAGTTGCTTTCTTATGTTGAACACAATAGAAGATATTTTGAAGATTGCCATTGACTTCAATAGTAGGAAAAAAAAATACAATGGAAGTCAATGGCAACCACCAACTGTTTGATTACCAGCAATCTTCAAAATATCTTCGTTTGTGCTCAACATAAGAAAGCAACTCGTACAGGTTTGGAACGACATGAGGGTGAGTAAACGATGACAGAATTTTCATTTTTGGGTCAACTATCCCTTTAACTGTGTATATTGCTCATACTCGCAAGTTTCGGTTTTTCAAGCCGCCTTTTTGCACTTAAGTTACTGGAAATCTTGACGTTTCAAACGTCGCGGTAGTCCAGTTAATTAACTTATTTCAGGCTGTTAACCTGTCATGTCATATGAAGTACTGTTATGACATTTTTATAGCTGTTTTTGTGGGGTTTTATAGAGAGTTATGAATTGTCCTTGTATGGAAAAGAGCTGCGTGACAAGTCCAAAACTCACTTGAACCTAAATTAACGATGATTTTACTATACTAACCATTGTTTAACCATGGTATATGTCGTAAAACTGTGGTTATACAAATTAAACCATGGTTACTACACCTTTATTGTAATTAAACCATGGTTTATTTTGGTACGGTAATTTACTCATGAATATTACAAACCATCTGAGGGAGAATACATGATGACAGAGTTCTTTTAAACAATTCATGTCATTTCTATTTCAATACAGACTAAACATGGAGAGTTTCACAGAGGAACTCGATGATTTCTTAAAGTGTCCGCACAAACCGAACACGACCGAGCAGGAGCTAAACAGGTGCGTGTGTGTCTTCATCTCCATTTACAGTTTTTTTTCAGCTGCTTTCACACATTTTCAAAACCTTGCCTCTTTTTTTTTTTTTTCAAACTTTACACACAAATGCAAGAATCACACACACAAAATGCAAAACGCCTCGCATCTCTTGCAAAATGAAGCACTGCATTCAAAATATCACAAACACATCTCAAAAGCAAACACCTTTGCCATAATATTAATTCCTGTTGGATTTGTGTGTGTTACATAGAGAATTGTGTTTTGCAAAAATTGTTTTATGTAATTGAAAAGGCTGAGAATTAGTGCATGGTTTTGTAGATATTTCTAAATAATTGTCTTTTAGTAGCTTCATTCATTACTCACATCCGTCATAGTAGTTCAGAGTGTCTCAAAGTTCAACATGAGTAATTTTATAATGTTTAATGTCATTATTATAGCCAATATATAGGTTTATTGAGAGCTGAATGCTTGTGAAATGAGTCCTCATAAACTTTTCATAAGAAGCTCTCTGTGTGTTTTTGGCAGAATGAGGCTGCAGTTTTGCTGTAACGCCACGGGATCGTTATTCCTCACCAAACGCAACACAGCCGTCAATCAGACCATCCCGTATGAGACGGACACAAAACACACATACAGAATGAATGCAGCCATTCACAACATGCTGCCTGAGGTGCGTGTGTGTTAACATTTAGGTTTTTATAAATTGTTTTTGAATACTTCTATTAAGCAAGGATGTGTTAAACTGATTAAAAAAAAAAGTGACAGTAGAGACTGATAGTGTTAGAAAAGATTTAATTCTGTTTTGAATAAATGCTGTTCCTTGGAAAAGTATCACAGCTTCCCAAAATATATTAAGCAGCGCAACAGTTTCCAACATTGATAATAAATCAGTATATTAGAATGATTTCTGAAGATCATGTGACACTGAAGACTGGAGTAATGATGCTGGAAATACAGCTTTGATCACAAAAATAAATCATATAAGTGTATTAAAAAACATTACAAATCTTACTGATCCCAAACTTTTCAATGACAGTATATATATATATATACTGTATATGTATGTGTGTGTGTGTGTGTAACTTCGTCATACGGTAAACACATCCCATCATGCCTTGCTCCTCACTGACTGTGATTGTGTGCTCAAACGGAGTGATTTCAGTGGACCAGAAAATCCCACAGACACACATTGAAAGAGGAACCCGAGGCTCATCCACAGACCAGAAAATCAGAGAGACTCTTTCTATTAAAACAGAATTCAGCTGATGAGCGTTCACTTGTTTGTTTTTGTTACAGCAGTTTTGAAACCCTGAAACAGCTGCGGTCTGAATAGTTTAAACCATTCATGGCTCTAGTGTGTTATAGTTACACACGTGAACCGTCTCTTATCTGCTGAGGAGCTCAGTGTCCCGTCTTCACCCGGCTGAGCAACCACTGATGAATACACTATAAGACAAACCAGTCTTAATGACCAGATTCTCTCCTGAATGTTTAACTAGTTTGCCTAATAAAACAGATGCAGAAAATACAGAGCTGAGAAAGATCGACAGATCAACGCTGTGAAAACCTCTGTTCTGTTTTGTGCTTTCAAATTTCATGTTTAATTCAATGTTCAATGTTTTTTTAGTTCACATTAATTATTGCATTAACTAACAAAAAGCAATACATTTGTTACAGTATTTATTCATTACTGCCATTTTTGTTTAATATCATGCAGATTTGACTTTTAAAAGATGGAATTGGAACCTGTTTTGTATAATAATCAAATCAAATCAAAGATTTTTTTTTTCTCTGTTTCAGGTTTAATTTGGCATTGATTAATGACAGTGATGTTGGGTTGAAGACAGATCTGATAACCATCAACCCCAGTCAGATTCAGAGAGAGTCAGTGTCCACACACACACACACACACACACACACATATACATATTTTGTCATATTTGCAACACTTATAAAGGCATACAGTTATTTTTTACCAGTGCAATAGTGTTTATTAGAAACTGTGTGTGTAGATACAAAAATCTGGAGCAGGATCCGGATCCGTTGGTGGAGCGGGTCAGTGTGTACGGAAACGCCTCCCTCGCTATGCCCGCCTTTGCCTACACCTTCTGCACTGGAAAATCAATGAAAACTCTCAAAGTCCTCCATCCAATCAGACCTCAGCAGCCGGTGGTGTTCTTCAGCCCCCTTTACCTACGAACACTGGACCGTTTCTGGAAGGGGCGTGGCCTGAAGGAGATCCGCCTCTCATCTGGGTTTATGTTAATTAACACGGCGCTGGAACTGTGTGAGCATGTGCATGTTTATGGATTCTGGCCGTTTGGAACGGACCTGCAGGACAATCCCGTTCCGTATCATTACTACGACGCGTTGAGTCCGCACCGTTACATGCACAAAATGCCGGAGGAGTTTGTGCGGCTTCTGCAGCTCCACAGCCAGGGGGCGCTGACACTGCACCTGCAGCCCTGCTCCTCAAACACGCGCTTATAAAGTGTGCTTGTGAACCATAGTGGACATTGAGTGCACTCCAGTAATGCACGGCAATATGTGAACAACTGGCTAGAAAATACCATGTGAGGGTCGCGCTGCGTATCGGCAGAAAATGGCGTTCACTGCTTCTGCCGAACTCAGTGTACGAATTTACTCGCTCAGGGACACGTTTAACTTGAAAAACGCTTAACGTGGTTTAATGCTTAAAAATGTGTTTTTAAGGACCAAATTCAGTAAACACACTATTAACCCATTTGATTCCAAATTTTTCTCAGACATGAAAATATCAAAATGATGTGTCATTAACCCCTTGAAACAATCAATAATTATTTTTTTATGCAAACGTGTGTTTTATGGTTGGGTCACAATTGTGACCGGTGGGATAATGTGTATACTGAATTTAAATTATTTCTGAAGTCATCAAAATTCTTATATACCTCAGCCCAGTTATTAACCCAGTTTCATCACATTCTCACTCTATGGTTACTATTATACATAAAAAACCCTTATACAACACTGAATAGGTATACTAAGATATAATAAATAACTTACAACCCACTTGTATTGTTGCCATCAACGTGTTTACTCATTCTATGTCCACACTCAACAAAACTGAATAATTGTGAATTCATATATTAATACTAGACACCTTAAAGATAATGTGTACCAAAAATCTTTGTCATATCTTTGTTAACATACATTACTAGCCTTTTGTTTTGGAGCTTCATCTTCTCAAGGTGCAAACCGGAAGTAAACTGCTCTGGTCAGGTGACAATCTGCACTAAACATGTAAAACTGCACATATTTAACTGAGACCCTTTATTTTTTCCATATTTGAAGAAAATGCACTAAAACACTACTATGCCCTGTTTAACGGATATAGTCTCTAAGCTGAAGGCTTCAACTTCCTCTTTGGATATTGCTCCCACACATTTTTTAAAAATATATCTTTGACTGTTTTGGGACATGGATTTTAGAAATTGTAAATAAGAGTCTTCTTACTGGGTCTCTTCCAACCTTTTGTAAACATGCTTTGGTGAGACCGGTCTTGAAAAAGCCCAATCTGGACACAACTGGCTTATCTAATTTTAGACCTATCTCTAATGTACCGTTTATAGCAAAAAATTTTTAGAGAAATCAGTATTATTGCAATTACAAAAATTTCTGGACACAAACAGTATTTTTGAGACATTTCAGTCTGGTTTTAAGAAAAACCATAGTACTGAATCTGCCCTTTTAAGACTACCAAATGACATTCTGTTATCGGTCGATTCAGGGGATTCAGTTATTCTAGTCCTATTAGATCTGAGTGCTGCATTTGATACAGTTGACCACACCATTCTTATTTCACGTCTTGAACAGTGTGTGGGCATCCGAGGCCATGCCCTAAGCTGGTTTAAATCCTTTCTGTATGACAGAACCTTTTCAGTAGGCATTGGTAATATTGTTTCTTCAGTTGCTCCTTTGACTTGTGGTGTTCCCCAAGGGTCTATTCTCGCCCCAACCCTGTTTTGTATATGCTCCCACTAGGAAATATGCTTAGGAAGCACGGAGTGTCATTTCATGAATAAGGCTAATGTAAACCACAATCTGGGATATTTTAACTCCTTTATCAAACCAACTGTGAAAAACTTGGGAGTCCTTTTAGATTCCTCCCTAAAATTTGCTAAACATATGAACACAGTAGTGAAGTTTTTTCAGTTAAAACTTCTCTCTTGAGTCAAGTCTTGGTTATCGTTTAAAGATCTTGAGAGAGTTACACATGCCCTTGTCTTGTCACGTCTGGACTATCGTAATTCTTTATATGTTGGTCTACCCAGTTTTCTGTATCACGACTCCTGATGGTTCAAAATGCTGCAGCCAGGTTTTTAACTGGGGCTCGCAAGCGAGAGCATATTACTCCAATCTTAAAGACTTTAAACTGGCTCCCAGTGTGTTATAAAATTGATTTTAAGATACTGGTATTTGTTTTTAAATCCCTAAATCATCTGGCACCCTCTTATCTGACTTATTAAAAGAAAAAAAAACAATAAAATGTCTGAGATCTACAAAAAAACTACTCTTTGTCTCAGCCTAGATCCTGATTAAAGGCAAGAGGTGATCGTGCTTTTGCGATCCATCACGTGCGTGACTGCGTGAGTTCGCCTGTGTTTTTTTTTTTTCTTTTTTCTGCAGCTAATAAAATTTTGGTCGTCGACTTTTAGGGGCAGCCCTACATATGTGGTGGCAAATTTGTAGGAATTCGCACGAATGACCACCCCTAACCCCGCCCCTAAACCTACCTCTCACAAAAAACGTACAAAATCGTATGACCTCTTCGTACGAATTCGTACCGATGTTTTGTGAAAAATCGTATACGTATGAGGTGGCAAATTCGTAGGAATTCGTACAAATGACCACCCCTAAACCTACCCCTCATAGAAAA